TCAATGATTTTCCCGGCAACTCCATATGACTTCAGTATTTTTGTGAATTACCATGTTTGATTCCCAGAGTTCACCAGCCCAGTCATTTCAACTACTTGAACCTCTTGAACATTGTCAATCTACTCAAGAGAGATCAAGAGACATGCCTTAGCATTTGATGTTGAATAAATTAATATAGGCTTAGCATTTGATGTTGAATAAGTTAATATAATTACTGTACATATGGAGGTTTCCTAAAATGGTGCTAGCCCCCAAATCATCAATTTTAATGCGATTTTCCATAAACCATCCATTTGGGGGTACCCCCGTTTGTGGAAACCCCCATATAGAATTTAATTCAAGCCGAACAATTCAACTCCACTTGAAGTACACAGACTACATCTGGGTCAATCTTGGATCGGTAGTTTACTACTTTTCATTGTTGTTGCTTTGAATAGCAATATCTACTAACCAGCTAGCAGTTTCGTGAATTCTTGCAGGGCATCTAAGATTGACAACGACCTATGACACCTATTGTTTATGGTATTTCTAAGATTGACAATGACCTATAATCAGAATTAATCAGTTAGATTGACAATATTATTTCATTTTTTTTTGACCTAAACGCACTGGACCCCACCCTGGCCTTTCATGGCCTTTCTCTCTGAAAGGTCGTGAGAACATCGTCGAGGACACTGCACGCTTCCTACGCCAAACTGATGCGGCAGCGCTGCATTTGCCGTTGAAGGCTGGGATCAAGTGGTGATAGAATGCGGATACATATATATATATATAATAATAAACTATAACGAAATATACGGTAACGACACGACATTTAACTATGTGGAGGGCGGGGCAGACCGCGAGGCCCTGGAGGTAGTATGAAATACCAGTTCGTATATTTAAATGTACTTGCCGTATGTTTAAATGAATTGGATTCCGTATGTTTAAATGGCCGGGCAAGCCAAGGAAAACCTGCGAATTTCCTGTTGGTATATTTAAACATCCGTATATTTAAAGGTAGTTATCGTATAGCTGTATTCACAATCTATAGGCTTGTCAAAGGTGACTTTGTATTTTCCCAGCGGAAAATTCACTTAATGGGAAATCGATAGGGAATGTGTTTTATTTGTTTGGGGTTCCTTAGGCACGGCAAATCCAGTAAAGTGGGGATATAATGCTGATACATGTATCATAAATTATATTGAGTTTTATAGCTATTTTAACAATCGATCATGTGAACCCCAGATTTTGCTAAACCCATGGGCTGTTGATCATTGGGGGGGCTACCATTTGAGTAGCAGATGACATCACTATTTGGGTTGACGGGGATTTATGTTCAATAAATATTGATGTCATATAAGTGGGATAATGAGGAATACAGTTTGTATGGATATTTATTAACAGTCATAAATTTTGGTCAATTAAATAAATATCTTTGTGTGGGATCATTTGACCATCATAGATATTTGGCCAAAAAAATACGGTGAATCTATGGGATTGGCAAGTATTGATGCTATCAAGATGTATCAAGGGATTTCATAACAAGAAAGTGACTGAGATATTGATGGCCTATTTGCACTCTAAATGTTTTTTTGTAATGGTGATTACCCTCTGGTAAACTAACAGAACTATGGATAATCACCATTCTCCCCAGAAAGGACTGTTGTGGCCGCCCAAATCTCACACTTAATATGTATAAAGAATACTTCTTGTGAGATTTGGGTGTCACAACATTCCCTTCCGATAACTTGTGTTCTTGTGAGATTTGGGTGTCACAACATTCCCTTCCGATAACTTGTGTGTTGATATCTGTTCAAGCCCCAAGGATTAATCTGGATTAATCTGGGACCAAAAAAACCAAAAAAAAAACAAAAAAAACAACAACAATGTTTTCAGGACTACTTGGATCAGGGCTATCTTTAGACTAGTCTCCAAAACATTGTTTTTTTTTGTTTTTTTTTGTTTTTTTGTTTTTTTGGTCCCAGATTAATCCAGATTAATCCAAGCTAATCTACGATCATCAGATCTATTTAACATTTAAGTACTAACATGTGGTTGGCTAATTTTCTATATTCTCTGGTCATCTGCCTTTATTTATTGGCTTTTAGCGCCGCTCTCTCTGTGTCTGGACTCCTGAAGCAAGTTAATCTAAGATCATCAGATCTATTTAACTACTACTTTCTAACATATGGTTGGCTAATTTTCTATATTCCCTAGTCTTCTGCCTTTATTGGCTTTTAGCGTCGCTCTCTCTGTGTCTGGACTCCTGAAGCTATGGCATGTGGTTGGCTAATTTTCTATATTCTCTGGTCATCTGCCTTTATTGGCTTTTAGCGCCGCTCTCTCTGTGTCTGGACTACTGAAGCAAGTTAATCTAAGATCATCAGATCTATTTAACTACTAATTTCCAACATGTGGTTAGCTAATTTTCTATATTCCCTAGTCATCTGCCTTTATTGGCTTTTAGCGTCGCTCTCTCTGTGTCTGGACTCCTGAAGCTATGGCGGACATCTTCAACAAGGCGTGTCAAATCTCTACCACGCTGCAATGTTCATCCTTGGCATCTGTTATGTCTGTGACAACCGAGCCGCAACATGACTTCGACGTCATCCCCAAGAAGAAGTTGCAAGGCACCTCCAAGATCAAGGCTGCTATCGAGATTCTGAAGTTTACTCCAGTCAATGGTCTGGAATTGGATGCCATGGTTGCCATCATCGCCCAGAAAAAACATGAGCAACTTCCTGGTCCTCTTGCCCTCAAGAATGAAATCCCCATACCCTTCACTATGCAAATGGTCTTTCGCAAGATCAATGCTCGGGAATTCCAAGTTCTTCGACATTTCAACTTTGAACAAAAATTAGATTCTCGTTTGCTGATGTCTGCTGTGTCTGGCGAGCTTTACCTCCTCGACTATGGCAAGAATTTCAGAAGTGGAGCATTGGGATTTCAATTCCTCTTGGAAAAGCTCGGTGACTTTGCCATTCTGGCCTTTGAGTTTGTGCCCAAGAAGACCGGGAAACCACCCAAAGCAAAGACTGCATTAGAACTAGGTTTTGACCACATCAAAAAGAATGGCCCTAGAAGCAACATGGGAAATAGACAAACTGAATGGGCAGAAATTGAAATTCACAGAGAAGAAAGCCCAATTTTTGGATGGACTGCTGGACTCGTGAAGGAAAGTCTCCGCGGCTACGCCAATTCCAACATCTTTGTCGAGCCCACCTACAACTACTTCTTGACTATGTATGACCTCAGTAGTTGGTTTCTAGAAGACGTAGTTTTCCCACTACTCCCAGACATGAAAACCAAGACTTTCGTCATGCTTGGAAAGGCTGGAGCAGGAAAAACTCCTGCTGCTCAAGCCATTGCAATGGCATTCGCTGAGTATTGGATCTTGCGGGCTAATCAGGAGCATGAACTTCGTCCTTGCTTTCGTCTTTCCAACAGCCTCGAAAACCTACGTGGTGAACCTGGACTTCGAGAAAGGCCCGACATTCTGGATGACTCCGATATGAGCAACATTCCACTTCCGAAAATCAAGGCCTTCTTGGACAGCTCCCTGTCTGAAACCTTCACAGTTGAGAGGTGGACCACTACCAAATTTGTTCTCAACCAACTTCGCATCATCTGTGACAACAGGGTACATGCCGAAGCTGAGGAAGGCATCAAGATTGGCCAGGACACAATTCCCTTCCATGTCTTTGTTGACTACATCAAGCCAGCTTTCCATGAAAAGGCACAGAAGGAAGATATCCAAGCTTGTCTGAAGAGAGCTCATTTCGTCGTCAACATGAACGAGGCCGTCTACGTTCGCCCAGCGGGAGCTGGGGAATCTCCAATTCGCCTCGTGCGCTTCCCGGAGACTCAAAACAGGTCTGTGATCCGGGATTTCATTGCTGAGTCTGGAAAGCCAATCATTGCCAAGATGTTGGAGGGTTGTGCTGAGCCTCCAGCAGATTGGTTGACAAAGCGCCAGTGGTGCCACGACCTCTTGACGCACATGATTGAAAGCAACAACCCTGAAATCCCACGCATCCAGGTCATTCGTCGGCAATCTCCTTTTGGAGGACCTCTCGTCACAGAAGAAGTGAAGCCTGTTCTTCCCAGCTCTGGCCGGACTTGTGTTCTTCTCTCTGTTGAAAATCATGCAGATGATGGTCAAAAAGCTCAAGCAAATCATGCAGGTGATGGTCAAGAAGCTCCAGAACTTCCAAGCGGTGCCCAGCTTGTCTCTCTTGCGTCTGCTGTTCGTGTCAAAGAAGAACCGAAATCACCAGACCGCTCTACATTTCGTGCTTTGAAAAAGCAGCGCACTGTCATTGAACTGGATACCCCTTCTCCAGCAAAACCACGTCCCGCTACCGTTCTTGATGACAATGGCTTCCCTCCACCTGGTCATGGCGAAGATATAGAGGAAGATCTTCCTGACCTAGAAGTTGATGGTGAACCTCTGTATGAAGCTTTCCCAGATCCACATCTTGATGACGATGTCGTAGAAGAGGCGCTCCCCGACCCTGAGTGAGCTGGCCTAGTGAATGAAAACATGATTGTAGATTTTGTCCTCTGAAGACATGGTTGTAAGTTTTGATCTTGAGCTTGTAGCATATGTCAGCAACCGCCACTGGAGGCAATACAACATCTGAATGGTCCCGAAGCAAAAAAAAATATGCTCGAGCTGCTAGCTTTGCAAACCACCCTTCTTTCATTCTTTGTCTGTTGTGATATTGCTTCTGCATGATCTCAGCTCGCACTGCATTTACTGTATTCTTGCAATGCTACAATTGAGTCATTACCGGCTTTCTTCAGAACCATGTCAGACATTTGTTCAGTCTTGCACTGTAGGTTGCTCATTGTATCTGTTTGCTGTTTTCCAGCTGTCATAACTATTTCGTGTCTTCATACTAGCGCTATTTCAAGCTTCCCGAAACACATGTTTGCAGTCCAGTTCTTGTCACTAAGTCTCTTGCTTGCAGCTTTGTGCCATTTCAGCATCAATCCTGGCCACCTTTGTCATCACAATGGGGAGAGAGACATCAAAGAGGGCATCAACACTTCGAGTCTACAAATCCAACTTGAAGACATGTCCTTGCTGCCAGAAGCGTCTTTACCTCAAGAAGAACAAGAACTGCAGCCAGACCGCTATGGCCACTCTCTTTAGCAGCGAAAATGTATCACAAATTGCCAGTCAAAGTAAGTTCTGTGCCAAGAAGACATGCCGCCGAGAGGTGAGACACAATTTTGTATGGCTGGGAGGTCAGAAGATCAACTGCATGTCGTTCAAGGACATGGTTGCTTCTGGCTTGTACTTCGTTTCCACCAAGACCGCCTTTGCCATTCCCTATCTTGAGCTGTGCTACTATCGTCTGCTGCGAGCGAAAACATCTCCTGGTCAAGAGGCTGCTGTGCGCCTGATCGTGCATGGTAGTGCAGAGGGAATGTTTTGGCAACAAAATTCATTTCGTGACCATCTCCTTCATGCTCTAGAAGGGTATGCCATAGCTCGTCGCACTCCAAATCAAGTCGTGCCTTTCAATGTCGATTTTCCAGCCATGGAAGTTGTGAAGATCAAGAGCCCTTTGCTGCTTTTCCCTCCAGCGGCAACTGTCACAGCAGTGGCCTTTGATGGACATTTTGGTGTACATCGTATGCTACATTCCTCTGAACCGCCTCGCACAGTTCCAAAAAAAGGGCGTCCCATGAAGCAGATTCCTGAACATGAACGTTCTTGCCATTGTAAAACAAACGATGCTATGCGCCAAGTTCTTCCTGATCGTACAGCAGGTTGGCAATTTGCTCTAGACCCCCAGACAGGCAAAGTTCTGGGCGCTTATGAGCATACCGTCAATGAAAGGAATCAAGACAAAGCCGCCTTACTCCAGCACGTACTCAGCATGCCGAATGTCCACGCCGATCTTCTTGTTCATGACGATGCTTGTCACTTCGAAAAATTCGTTGCGACTTATGATTCCAATGCATTTGACAACATCGAGTTCTTTTTGGTGGATACATTCCACATGAAGAACCACAAATGCCACAAAAATTCCAGAACACGGAAGGAGAAGAAGCGTTTGAAGAATGTACGCACCAGCATTTGCGAAGCATTCAACGCCTGGCTTCGCCCCATGAACTTTTTCCTCAACAGCCTTCGTCCTCATAGTCACAAGTTCTGGGTCCAGGAGGCGATCACGTTCTACAATGCCAACTTGCCATCTTTGCCACCAATTCTCATGAGACGTTCAACTACTGCTACCCGGAACAGACGCAAGAAGTAGCTTTCACGGCTGGAAGACTCTGATCATACGTGGGGAGGCTGAAGACCTGTGTCTGTAGATAGATGCTGCCGCGCAGTTTTGTCTGCTTGTCCTTTAAAAAAAATCTCACAGAACTGCTTGTGTTCTTTTCATTTTGTCTTCCCTTTTCATTGAGTTGCTTTCTGTTTGTTTGCTTGTCCTTACAGAAAATCTCATAGAACTGCTTGTGTTCTTTTCATTTTGTCTTCCCTTTTCATTGAGTTGCTTTCTGTGATGCATGGTTTCAACTTCTTAGGTTGCTGACTTGCCACTTCCCATTTCTGTTTGACAAAGCTGATGAATCCAAATGAAAAGTCCAGATTCTTCATAGCATGTCCTTACCACTATTTGTTGCAGTTATTCACATGGTCCCGCAGCGTTTCTGAGCATACAGCATCATTCCGGTAGCCATCCCCTTGTAGCTATGGATGTGCGCGGCAAAGCAATTCTCAAAGATGGGCGCAAGATTGTCTTGGAGCTTGAACCAGGTGTTGCCCCACAACCTTCTACCACTCCTCCGCATCCAGATGCTTTAGTCCAAGAGATTGCTGACGGAAAGTTGTTGGTTCATCCTTCCAAAGCCCAAATCACTGTTCGCCGCATCCAAATGCAGATTTGTAACATTCAGCGTGGATTGCGGCTGTTGATTGGGGCAGAAGGACAGTGGAGCAATGAAGCAGATGAAAGGCTCAAGTCATGGTTCTTGCGTGCAGAAAGGAAGAAGAATCGCACCGACACACCTTCGCCTAGTCCTAGTGCCTTGGAAGATGCTTCTTCTTCCAGGCGCCTTGCCTTGGAAGATCCTTCTTCTTCTACACCCCTTGCCTTGGAAAATGTCAAGCCTGAGAATTCTTCTGTGGAGAACCATGCTACCAATGCCTTGGACGATGACAACCCTACAGCCATCATTTGTGAGGATTCCTATGTGGACAACCATGGTGCCAATGTCTTGGACGATGACAAGCCTGCTGTTGAGTCTCCTACCGGTGAGGTTGAAGCTGATGTCTTGGACGATGCCAAGCCTGCTGTTGAGTCTCCTACCGGTGAGGTTGAAGCTGCGGAGGATCACCATAGTTCCAATGGCGCTGATTCAAGCGATGCGTCGTCAACATCTTCCTCTTCGTCAGCGGCTACCAGACTTCGTGCAACGATTCAGCGCTCAGTGTCTGCTCTCCAGGAGATCCATGACATTGTTAGTGACAGTTGCCCAGATTGTGCAGATGCCCTGTTGCAAATCCAAGATTCACTAGCACAGGCCTTGAAATGAAGCTGCACTTGAATGCTCCGTTGTGTATGCTGACTTCGTCTTCCATCGCGCATTGCTCTTGGCATGAAAAAAAATCTGTCTTGCGCTCCGCCGGGCTCCATAACCAACTCTTCAAAATGTGTAGGTTTCCCAGTGAAATAGTTCATGGTTAATTAAAAACTTGACAACAATAGTTAAAAAAGAGGCGGCCACAACAGTCCCCTCCCCATTTTTAATGGGAAAATCCACTATAAATGGCAATTTTCAATAGCTATGTTAAATTACCAGAGGGTAGATTCTTGGGTGTTATTAGGGACTCTACCTACACATACCTACGCAAAAGATAGATCATGGCCTTGGAAGGGGCTCGAGATGGCTCGAGGCTACGGGACCTAACTAAGCACAAAATGGGCGTTTAAAACCAGCAACAATTTGGGAAAATTAGAGGTTCTGAGCGTCATCATGGTTTGTCCAAAAATGCAGAAGAGGCTGCTAGCCTCCGTTGGAATGATGTGGGCCTTATCCTATTGTTAGAGGGGTACCTTAGGGGTACCTTTGGGGGACCGTGAAGCAGATGAGTTTGCCACTTGGTTAGTTTGGTTAGTTTATAGTTTATATGGCTATATCAGCTGCGGATTCTGGGCAGAGGAGAAGCTAAGTCAGTTTCGTTCAGGTGAATTCTAAGGTTCATGGTAGACACAACATGAATTAGCTGTAGTTAATGGGGGTTACAAACCAACTCATAACTTATAGCTGGGTGGACAACCTCCTGAGCTGGCTATGTTGGCTATTCCTTGCACTGCGCCAGTGGCATGTCGTGTAAGCTGGTGGCGCATCCCCCATTCATGTCACCAGTTCCAGATGATGGGTAAAGTGGTGTAACCAACAACAAGAACAAGAACAAAAACAAGATCAAGAACAACAACTACAACGACTACAACAACAACAACAACAAACACAAACACAAACACTTTGTAACGTGGTATATTAATGGGTGTTTTGTCATGTTGGTGACTGGAGTCTAATTGGGATGTATATAATTAACTTAAAGTTCGAAATGGTTGGTAACTGGGATATATTAAAGACAGCATAAGAGGGATATGTCATCCTGCATGCGCCACTTGCAAACAATTTGCTGATCAAAGGGATCATCCCGGAGCAAAAACCCATCAATGCCATTGCCTCAATCAGTTTTGGCATTTACAGTAGCTTAAATAACTATAGACCATAGATCTAATAATTGATATGTTAAATGAATTCCAGGATCATATGGCACAAAAGGCTGGAGATGTATATATATATATATAATTCTATGTAATCTATGTACGTGTATATACATATACACAGACATATACAGATACACATAATGATGCTACGTATGTAATCGTGTACACATAGTCAAAACAGTATACATGTGTGGCAATCTGCGCACCTAGTTTTGAGGCAGATGGAAATGTCAGCATTCTTGCAAAGTGGTGCAGGAATATTTACAAACCCATCCAATTGCAGACGCAAAACCCAGTTGACCATTTTGTTTTACTTAGCTATCAATAAACCATAAATCCCAATGTGTTCTTAGTGAAGTCCCATCTGTTTCTCGGTTTTCCCAATGGAAATATCCCAAGTTCTCCCGCCAGGTGAAATTTGCGGGCGAAGAGGGGCAAGATGAAGGACTGGTGGTGGACGAGTGGGGTCAGATCCATAGGGGGAGAATCAACAACAACATACGTGTTAATGGATTTAATGGTGATATATAGGTTTTATTATGTATGTAAATATATGTTTTTTTTATTTTTTTTATGGGTTTTATGGTGGTAAAACAAATCCCCATGAATACTATAGTTACCCTCTGGTAGACGTTTACATAACTATGGAAAATCACAATGTTTAATGGGTAATCAACTATTTCTATGGTCATTTTCAATAACATGGTATAGCCATCATTATTTGGTTGGTGGTTTGGAACATGAATTTATTTATGACTTTCCGTATATTGGGAATCATACTCCCAACTGACGTCCATATTTTTCAGAGGGGTAGGTATACCACCAACCAGTATATATATAAATAACTATATATATAGGTTTATATCATATCTTCTAAACATATTGTGTAACTAATTATAATGAACAATATTAGAATATGAGTAATGCTTACTATTATGAGCAATTATATATCATATCCGAATGCTTCATTATATCATATCTTCGTAACATAGTAGTAATCAATGAAGCATTCGGTTCAAACCAATCAAGTAATTCATGTTGATCATCTCCATCAGCAACTGAGTCAGTGGACTTCTTTGCTTCTAGGCATTTGCAAAGCATCCCAGCCTGATTCAGTTGTGTAATTATTTGTTATGTTAACCTAGATGGGTTGCAAACCATCGTTAATTATTAGTCATTGTTAATTAGGTGTCAATTATTCGTTATTGTTTGTCAACCAGTCTTATTCACATTGTGTTGGTTTAACCTTTCATGTTTGTCAGTTTGTCACCAAGAAATTGCGGGAGAAACTCACCCTGAAAGCCTCACCGATATATGATCCGTTTCTGACAGGCCCTGACTTTTGTTGCTTTTGTTGTTTTTTTTCTCCGGGTATATATATAATATAGATAATCATATACATATAATTGAAGATAAACATATACATATACATAATAGCATATATATATATACATGTATAATAACACACACACATATATATAATCGCATATATAAAATAATATATATATAATAACATCGTTATAAACATACATATGTATAGTAATAACATACATATATATATATATACATTTTGAATGTAGCAATCCACAATCTTCCTCATTTTCGAGTTAGCTCAAAACATGTAGCTGGCTCAATTTCAGAAGGGGTCATGTGTTTGACTTTAATGTTGTGCCGCTGTCTAAGCAGATTTGGCCCAAAACGTGGCTCCTAAATTTCTGGGCAGCAACAGGGGTACCATCTCTATTAAACGAATCATTTGGGACTGACCCTGGCAATTGAACACATTGGGGGAAATTTGCAGGCTCAAGTGGAACGAGCTACCTCAGCAACACCGCGCCAGCTCAAACACATCGCTCTAGCTCGATGGCACCGAGCTGGCTCAATTTTTTCTAACGAAATAAAAAACAAAAACCTCGAACAAATTGAGCCAGCTACGAGGCGCTGAGCCAGCAACGAGGCATTGAGCCAGCTAAGTGGCACTGAGCCAGCAACGAGGGAATGGTGAATCTGTACTGTACGGGATCGATTGATTTTCCAATGCAGCCTTTGCAGTTCCAACAAATCAAATTGTTGATTGATTCTGGCACCATGTGAGATAAAATAGAAGACTGGCAGTCTATACATACATATGTATGCATATATAACCCCAACCGTAAAATGATGGTCAATCTGAGGCAACACCAGTTTTCTTGAGGGAGACTCGTGCCCTTGAGCTGGAGGGAGATTTGGGACAAGTAATTCTCGATATTTATGTATATATATATATATTTATAAACATATATATATGTATAATGATACATATAATAGCACATGTTCATAACACATATATTTAAGAACAAATAAGAAATAACATATATATTTTTAAGTGAACAATTATGTATATATACACATACATATGCACAATTATAGCAACTATATAATAACACATATTTAATGATATATACAAAAGTAATAACAACCATACATAAGAACATATATATATATAATAACATATATAATTTTGATTAATTATTTATATATACACTATATATTCTCTTGTGTTTTGGAGACTGTCCAATTTCACATGGACATGGGCATGAGGTGGAGAACACACCATCACCCCTAAATCCACTGGTGGATTTATTTCCCTGTTCAGATTGCCATGTTGGGGGTACCACCATTTCAACGTACCCACTTAACCCCATGATATTCCCATGAAAAATGTCATATTTTGAGCCATGTCTTTGATTTTTTTGGTCATTGTAACGCATGATGATATCCACGAAATTTTGAAAATCCACCATTTATAGATGATGTTCCCATTACAACTTCTATTTATGTGGTAAATTTTGGTGAAATTCACGGTGAAATCACTCCCCAGTTCGGAGAAAGACTCGCAGGCGGCGTGCGCCGGGAATTCTTTCAGGTGCTGATCCGACGGCTCTTTGACGAGAGCCTCGACCTATTGGTTTGAAGCAGATGGTAGGTATGAATGTTACCCTCAGGTAAATTGACATAGACGCTGCCAGATAGGGGTTGGAAGAGTAATTTCCACTAAAAATGGGTTATTTCCAAGGTCTATGTTAATTTTCCAGAGGGTAGGTCACTAGCTATATAATTGGCAAGTTTCACTATGAATGATGCAAGGTCACACTAATTATTTGGATGTTCTTTTTAGATCTTAAGTAGATGGTGGTCATGGTATAGAAATAACGACTTAATAAGAGAACTAGTCACAAACATTTGGTTTGGTATTTTTTTTGGTGACATTTTTTTTTGCACGCTGGCCTAGTCTTGATTTGCAAACGTTGGTGAAAATCCTGGAAAACCCAGGTGACAATGATAGGGGGACATGGATGTTTATTCCCTTGAAAATGGTATGAAAAGGTCCTGATTCATAGCCTATGAACCTATGGCCATAGAGATACGTGTAGATACTTGTAGATACTTTGGGGTACAACAAGTTGATCTACAAACAGTGTTTGATCTACCCATTGTTCATTGATATTGATTGAGAAACTGAACTAAATTGAGGTTGATTATAATGGCACTAAATAAATGTAAACATCTTTTTTTAAAAATACAGTATGTTTTGTCTATTGGTGGTGCCATAAACGAGAAAGTTTCCGTTGCCAATTTAGATAAGGGGAGGGTAGACACACCCAAATAGATTGACAATGTTTATAAAACATGTTGTTGTTGAGTGAGTGTCCGTGTTTCCAGATGTTCGATGTACTGTATTAGTTGCCAGAACGCACAAAATCTAGGAGGAGGAAGTTGAGGAATGAATCAAAGATGTTGGTTTGGCCCTCTGATTGCCCAACCTTGTTTTCGTTTTTTTCTGTTCACACCAAACTGGGTACAAAATAATAGAAACATGACCAGATGCAATTTCATCTGGAAAGTTAGACGGTAGTTCGGATTATTTTGAAGAAAATATGGTGGATGATGGTCAGAATTTGAGCTCCTCAAAACTCGCCGGACTAGCCGGGAAGTAAACGAAAAAGGAGGTTCCCTATGCGTGGATGTCCCACAGTGATGTCCACCACAGTTATGTTGAATTACGGGAGGGTAAGCACTGTGTTTATTCCTATCCTGGTGAATCAGAGCTAAACATAGCTAAACTTCTCCTACTTTGACGACTGTTTCGGCGACTTCTGGTTGTTTCTTCTGACCTGCGCTGGAACTAGTATCAAAGATATCCTAAGATAGCATAATATGTATATATATGATATAATATATTATGATATAATATAATATAATACGATATGATATAATATGATATTATATGATATAATATCATATTATTTGATGTTATATAATTTAATATGACATAATATGATATAATATGATATAATATAGTATAATATAATATATATATATAATATAATTTGATTTTACATAATATAATATAATATAATATAACATAATATAGCCTAATATAATATAGTATAACATAATATAATATAATTTAATATAACATAATATAATTTAATATATACACATATGATTAATTATATATATATGTGTGTGTTTGTGTTGAATTTCCAGGGCTCTTCCATACCAGCCCAGGGCTCCCGTTTTGGGCGCCCCTGAAATGACCCGGGCCCGGCGGGCCGCCCTCGTTGCAGCCGTTTGAAGCAGCCTTGAAGCTGTTAAGCCCCGGAGCCGCGGAGCATTTGATTGTCCGTGCCACCGTGCCATGTCTCTGGTTGCTGGGCTGCAGTTGCGACGGCTCTGGACGTGCGTTTGATGAATGCTCCATGTGACTTATTGTTCATAGTTTCTTGTCTTGCATACAGATTATATTTATATATATATGCTCAACTTTGCCCAAAAACAACAGGAGTCAGTGATGAGACTGAAGACGAAGCCTGAGTCCAGATCTTCCATTTACCGTGCCATGTTTTTTTGGGATTTGCTGCCAGATTTTGTCCCAGGTCCGTTGTGCTACAGTTCTCGTTCTGGCGACCCTAGTGGCGTCCCAAAGGGAACGCCCAGATAGGGAGAAGCCGCCTGGTTGCGACAGGCTGCGACAGGTGGCTGGAAATCAGGATGTAAATGTGAACTTCGCATCTATAAATGAATGCCTTCTGGTAATTTAACATAGCTATTGAGATTTACCTATTCAAAATAGTGTTTTTCTTAATAGCTATCTTAGTTTACCAGCGGGGAATTTCAATCCATAGCCGTTTGAAATTCGCAGATGGTTTTTCTATGTTTTTCTCATCATCAAAATTTGGAGAGCAACCAAAGTAGTTAAAGAACCTGGACACACACAAGAACCTGTTTGGGGTTCCTTAGGCAAATCCAGTAAAGTGGGGATATAATGGGGATACATGTATCATAACTGGGCGGTGGTTTGGAACCATGGAATTTTATGACTTTCCATATTAATCGGAAAATTTCATAATCCCAACTGACGAACTCATATTTTTCAGAGGGGTAGTGAAACCACCAACCAGTTAAAGTTTACTCTGTTCCTTCCCTACATCTGTCATTTGCGACGCAAACACACATCTTGTTGGGGTAAACTGTGTTTCATTGTGGTTGTATAGCCATGAAAAATGGGGAATTGACCACAAATGATGGGATCTAGTGGGAATAGAAGCAATAGAACTGAACTGGCTGGGAGGTTCATTTTTGGCTTCACCATATATGTGAAACACCAGCTTTTGAAAAAGCACACATGTGTCATGGTATGTCATGGTCAATTGTTTGTCAATTGTTTGTCAATCAATAGGGAATTATGCAATTGTTCATACCCATGACTGGTTGGTGGTTTGGAACAGTTTTTATTTTTCCATAATACAAGGGGTAATCCTTCCCATTGACTAATAACTATTTTTCAAGATGGTTAAAACCACCAACCAGATAAAGATTCCTAAGATGGCACACATAGAAACGGCCAGCTGAAACGGTGGGATGTGCAGCTTGACCTGGATTTCGATGTAAAATTCAAGGATACATGGTGTATTGATGTGTATTGTATACATCGTATGTGTATACATCTGTATATATATATTATGATACACATGTATTTAAATATATATATATATATATTGATACACATATTATATATATACATAATATATATATATATATGTGATAGACATACATATCATAATATGTGTCTCCTGAAAGCCCAATAACTCCATCTTCCCCCGTCCCAGGCAGAAGGAGTTCTCTGAGTGTTTGCTGTCAGGTGCTCTCCATTTTTGTTACGGGGAATGATGGGGATGGCTTAGCTATGGTTAATGGTAGATATAACTATAGTTAACGGATGTTTTTTTGTTGATAAACCAGCAAACATCACTGGGGGGGGCCCATCCTGTATGGTATTCTCTCCTATTTTATGGGGAAGAACTATCCATTAAGCAGCAATTTTTGGGGTACCGTACTTACAAGGTTTTGACTCATAACCAATAAGATATGGGAGAATGAGTTTAGCTAAACTCACCCAATTTCTATTATCCCATCCAATAATAAACCTATTATCTTATTTATCTTGGGATGGTTTCCATCTAACCCATCTGTGGTTAGGGGATGGTTTATTGGGTTTACTTTACCACATGTTTTCATCAATTTCGCACTATTTCTTGAATGATTATCATGGGATCCCAAGATGGAGTGGTGGAGGAGCTATCCCAAAGCTGGGGAATTCAGAAATGTTGAAACGTATGACCTATAGCAAAGTCCAGAAAATTTACACCGCAAAGGGATGCAACGCGTTTAAAGGCAGTGAGTGAGTATATATCCCAAAGAAGATGTAGGCCTCCTAATTCATTAATTGTAGTGAACAATCTCAGGAGTTGAAAACGAGCAGGGTCACACATAGTTTCGTTGCAGTCTCAGTTCAAAGGGGTTCCATACTTCAAGCCCCTGTCTCATCTAGCAATTCTTGAAGCATCACATACAGAAGCGGGACTTGGCACTTCCTTTCCGAAATTTCCTTTATGTTTTGGGTGATCCACTTGATCAATCTTAATCCACTTGGTTATTTTGTCCCTGCATCATCTCCGGCATCTCCGGCATCTCCAACGGGGCCATTGATGTTGATAAACCTGGCTGCTTATCAGTCATAGTTGTTTAAAAAAAACTGGAAAAGGATGGAAATGATTGGCGGTTCAAATCATTCAAATCATTCAAATCATTTGACCTTAAACAGTACCTTCTGGTAAACGTTTACGTAACTATGGAAAATCACCATGCTATTCATGTGGTAAATCCACTATTTCTATGGCCATTTTCAATAGCAAACTGTTAGTTTACCAGGCCGGGTATCTCAGTATTTGGACTGATCAACCCCAGTTGGTGATGGCGGATGTCATCATCAAATCAACGTAGGAATTAACGCATCATGTATACACATGTACACGTATCTCATGGTATATACGCATATAATCATTTATATATAATACATACAGACACGAATACGGAGAAGTACATGGACACTATGGAGAGCAATGGAGAAGTGACGCGCTCTCGTCATGGGTGGCCGGCAGCAAGGGCCTATAAAAGCTTTAGTGCCAAGCCGGACGGCCGAAGAATGCCATGTTGCTTTGAACAGACCAGACACTGTGATGATGACAGGTGCTGGATACAAGGACCAGACCCGGTGTCCACAGCTCCCATGCACCGTATGCATACATATACATTTACATGTACATATATTCATACGCAGCATTTTTGATGTTTTTTGTGTGTATAAACAAATCATCCTCATCCTCATCGTCATCATCATCATCATCATCAACATCAACATCAACATCAACATACTTTAGTTTGCTGTTCAGAGGTTAGATATATCTACAATATGATAGGCAAATGTGTGTGTGTGCCAGATCATATGGTGCATCACTTCTATAGCTATTATACATGATGCATTTTTCATCTTGTTTCTATGATTATGTATGTATGATGCATCTATGATACATACCTGTATCCACCAAAGGCTGTGTGTGTGTGTTTTAAGGCCAAAGAAAAGGCACCAGGTCAAGATTCGGGTGTATACAATGTGGGGACCCCAAAACGTGTTTTTGGATGTTTTTGGGTTTATACAATTATATTGTTAAACTAACTATATAGTTATAGTCATATAGTGATATAGTCATATAGTCATACAGTTACATAGACCTTAAACATAGCCATTTTTTAGCGGAAAGTAATCTTCCAGCCCCCAACTCATGGCAGGGTTGTCATTTCAATTTATAATTTCTCGGATAGTAATCATCATATTAAGCTGGTTAAAAAAACACCATTAAATCGCCATTAAATCACCATAAAACCACCATAAAATCACCATAAAATCACCATAAAATCCCATCAAGTCCACAAAATACAATATTCTATGCCATTTTCAGGTACCAGACACCCCGTTTTTCGTCACCCGTCACTTCAGCGCAGGCGGAACGCGAGAATCTTGTCGTACGATTCTGGCGGACAGTCAGGGAGAAACTGGTGAACGACCTTCGCCTCAGCCTCAAGACGAGGCGCAAAGCTGGGTTCCATCCATGGTGATTTCATAATGATGACTTAATGGTGACTTAATGGTGACTTAATAAATCCCATTAAGTGATTTTGGGATTGGTGATTTATGGTGACTTAATGGTGACTTACTGGTGATGTATTATGATTTTGGGATATTTTGGGTTTGTCTGAAAATAGGGTACCCCTTGATCCATTGGTGAACCATCATTTTCGCGAAAAAGATTGGCTATTTGGGAGGTTCCATTTTCAGTCACACTGGTGATAGGGGATTTTGTGAATTGATCTTCCCTTCAATTCTAGGAGCTTACGGTGCAAACAAAAAGGGTTGAACCAACGCTTTTTTTGTGATTTTAGTGGCAGACATTAAGAAATACCTCACGAACAATGGAGGTTTGACCAACAAGGCATGACTTTAAGCAAGGATTCAGGCTGGGGAACGCTGGTCATCAAGTTGAATTGTTGGTTTTGACGCTGGATTTTGTTGGGCAAATTTTGATGAACGGATGGTTCCCCTATCAGACCTAGCAACTGGAGTTTTTCGGTTACCCATGTTGACAAGTTGTGATAAGAGATCGTACTATTCGATTGGTTGGAGATGTTTATGCCTACGGATCGAAAACCGTGCTCATAAGACGCACATTTTTGCTAATGGGATGTGGCGGGTTATGGGGGTGGGGTGGGGTGGGGGCGTTAACGTTCTGTCTAGTGCGTACCGTACATATTTCTACGCTCCCGAGATCTCTGGAATGCTTGACACGTTACATGTTGCTACAGAGAGTTGCTAAAGTCGTGCCTAGATTAGTGGGAATCGTTGAAAATAGCTTCGGAGCACTTGATTTTGAAAAGTCGTGCCTTTTTGTGAAACGCATAGGAAATGCATGATTTTCTGGTTTTCATGATCGGATCCATGATTTTATATAAATCCTGCATTCAGTTGGTGTTCAGCATGTTGGGCAAAGACTTCACATCTGAGTTACTTAAGACTTGGTCGTTGCATTTAGTTGGTGTTTTGATGTTGGGAAAAGATTTCACATCTGACTTACTTAAGACTTGGTCGTTGCATTTAGTTGGTGTTTTGATGTTGGGCAAAGACTTCACATCTGAGTTACTTAAGACTTGGTCGTTGCATTTAGTTGGTGTTTTGAGTAGCCATGTCTTCCTTTGTATTACTGGAACGTACTAGGAGCCTCATGTTGTTCAGCCATCATGTGGGGAGTGGCCTTTCCTAGGGAATGAGTTGACGTCGCTTGGACGTCGTTCGGACGTCGTTCTGACGTCGTTTTTTTTCCAGTATATATCATATCCCGATCTCCAACTTCACTTTCAGATTCACTATTCATTTCACAACAAACCATTATCAAAAACGATCCATGAGCGGCTTGCTCTGCCGCCCATGCAACTCAAAAACCCAACACTTCCTACAGGCTACTATTTTTGAAACTTCCGCCACCGCCTTGTGCGGTACTACTGGTATCAGTTAATCAAAATGAAGCAAAGGTTTCTGCTGCATTTAGATGGTGATTTGGGTTGCGGGCATGACATAGGCATGACTTCCTGGAAATTGCATTTAGATGGGGGAAAGCAGATTTTCAGCACACAGGCGTGACTTAGGCATGAGTTTCGCGCTTTCCTGTATGCTCCCGAGATCTCTGGAATGCTTGCCACGTTACATGTTGCTACGCTGCCGAGAGCTCTGGAATGCTTGCCACGTTACATGTTGCTACGCTGCCGAGATCTCTGGAATGCTTGCCACGTTACATGTTGCTACGCTGCCGAGATCTCTGGAATGCTTGCCACGATACATGCTACGCTGCTGAGAGATCTCTGGAATGCTTGCCACGTTACATGTTGCTACGCTGCTGAGAGCTCTGGAATGCTTGCCACGTTACATGTTGCTACACTCCCGAGATCTCTGGAATGCTTGCCACGTTACATGTTGCTACGCTGCCAAGAGATCTCTGGAATGCTTGCCACGTTACATGTTGCTACGCTCCCGAGATCTCTGGAATGCTTGCCACGTTACATGTTGCTACGCTGCCGAGATCTCTGGAATGCTTGCCACGTTACATGTTGCTATGCTCCCGAGATCTCTGGAATGCTTGCCACGTTACATGTTGCTACGCTGCCGAGATCTCTGGAATGCTTGCCACGTTACATGTTGCTACGCTGTTGAGATCTCTGGAATGCTTGCCACGTTACATGTTGCTACGCTCCCGAGATCTCTGGAATGCTTGCCACGTTACATGTTGCTACGCTGCCGAGAGCTCTGGAATGCTTGCCACGTTACATGTTGCTACGCTGCCGAGAGCTCTGGAATGCTTGCCACGTTATACGTTGCTATGCTGCGTGGACGAGCTGCAAACAATTCATCCCAAAAGCTTTGGGTGTCAGGCACAAAGATCTCATTTTATATGCCAAAATGTGGCAATGGCGCTTCGTACAAGAACCTGCTCCAGAAGACTGCAGACATGTTGCACAAGCTCGAATGAAAAGAATGCCTCATTTTGTCCGATCGAAATGAAGCACAAATTTGTATTTTACTGTGGTAAAAAACAACATTCCCCCAAAAAACACCCAAATTTGGACGTCCAAATTTGTCACTTTTTCAATGACACAAATCGTTACCTCGCTGTGGTAAAACAAACATTTTTTTGAAAAACTCTATTTTCGTGAGCACGGTTTTCGATCCGCCGGGATGTTTATGACCAGGTATCTAGAATGGGTAGGTCAGGTAGGCCATGGTCCAAAGCCCAAATTCCATCAAGAATACACCAATCAAATATAAAT